TACATAATTGGAGCTCATATTCCAAAATTCAATCCAATTTTAAATGCCCGAGCCATGCTTCGGCGCGAGTAGGCCGACTTGACCGAAGTGATACCACGGCCAAGCAGAAAACCAACGTGAAACAACGCTTGAGTTGTGTGTTCGTCGTGTGAGTGAGGTTGCCGGAGGCCCAATTAAAACTACTACCAATGCTCATTGAAGTCTTCCATGACAATATTAATAATAAGAATATTACAAAGAAAAATCTTGTAAAAATGCCACCAAAACATTAATGTTCTACATTTGTCTAATCTTATCTTAGTTTTAATCAGTACAATGTAAATACGGAGATGAATGTAGACTGCAGGCTTGCGCTCAGACCTGCAATATGATGGTAAATGTTTCTCTCATAGGCCAGGCTAAGGCTATTTATAGACACAATGAGTTGAGGTGTCAAGGCCAGTCACTGCATGGCGTACATTTATAGACTTTTCAAAAAGGTAACCATAGAGTGTCTTACTTGATTACTTTCCACATAAATTTGCAATTTTTGGTAAAATTAAGCTGGCAACTTATTGTAGGTAGACAGAATAAAAAATTAGATTTATTGTTTACAGTAATGTGTCTCTATTTCTTTTTTATTGATACTTTTGAATGATAGTCGAAGTTATTATCGTAGACTTAACTCTAATACCAAAGTGTAATAATTAAAAAACGTAATTTACCTAAAAAATGCATTTCTTTTCGTACATACAGACAAACATTCGAAAATCCATAACATTTTTGGCTTCGGTATCGATTATAGATCACGGTATTCTTTTAAAAAAATATTCAATGTACAATTTTGACTTTTCTACGATTTTATTATCTATGCATATGTATAGAAAATACCTTTTTTCCAGAGGTTGCAAAAGAAAATAGTACCCACCTAATTTCTCTTCAAGTATTTTCTCATAAACATCTAACTGGTGTAACAGTTGTTATCAATCGTTTCTTATCAGTCATGCCTGTATTCTGAGATAACATTGTAAACATTCATACAGCGTTCTCAATGATTATTACACCGGTATCAAAAGTACTGAAGCGATCGATTCCTATTTACTTTAAACACTTTGGTATTGTATAGGCGTCTCTTTGTTAATGGCGGTCAAGTTCAAGATTAATTATGAAACCTGTAGATATCTATATTACGTGAACTTAGTAGTTAATGCCTGAATACTGAAAAGAAATTCAATTTTAAGTCACGCTTAAGTATAGTAATGTCCCATATTAATATCTTATAGTACTATTTTCTGTAATCTCACTGCAAATAGTCCAATAATTAAGTAGGAAGTATAAGGGCTACCTGGAAAGTTTTCCAGGAGTTTTGAAAATGCGCATTTTTGTAGATTTTGATGTGCTCTTTTCGGTATCCATTTTGCATTAAGTACTAAATTACTGAACTAATAACTGTGGTATGATCCATCGTCGGCAGCGTTTCTGATCCAATACGACCTTCAAACTTTCATGAAAATAACGTATTTCTTTTTAAAAAGCCAGCAACGTACCCGCGGCTCTTGTGGTGTTACTGGTGTCCATGGGCGGCGCTGATCGCTTACCATCAGATGATCCGTCTGCTCGTTTGCCTCCTATTCCATTAAAATAGCGTCTTTGGCACAAAAGTAGCATCTATAATTACAAGACTACCTACTAGCAGTTACTGCTTTACCCCGTAGTACAAATAGATCCTACTTAGTGGAAATAGTACAAATAGATCCTTTTATTATACAATCCTACATTACTGTAAGTATATAAAGCGCATTGCCCCACTAAGCAGGATCTATTTCAGTAAATAGAATAATGAACGTAATACGTGTGGGCTCTGCACAATAGTACGGCGGATGTGAGGTGAACTGTCGACCTCTCAATCACAATTCAATTCCTTGTTAGGTATACCTATTATCACTTTACTGACATTATTTGAAATGCTTAGAATTTCTGAATTTTGTAAATTTTGACGTAAAATGTCTTTTTGCCTTTTATAGCTTAATTGAAAGTTTGTAACCTTTATAACTTTATTTATTGCTATTGAAAAAATCATAATTATGTGTATATTACAACAAATACGAAATGATGAATGATGATATATGACAAAAAGTTATATACAAGTTTTCGCATAGGTAGGTACCAAAATGATACCTATGTACCATTTGCAAGAGCGAAGTTGTAACAATCAACAATGCATCACTTCAGTTCCTCGTAACAACATACAATATAACAACTTACATAGCACTTTGAAAAGCACTATGACGTCAGATCCGGCCACTATAGCAAACAATAAGACTATTAAAGTATAAATACTCTTGAACAAAAGTCATTCAACAAGGTCAAAAAATATATAAAGTTGCACACGAATAAAGAACATAATTATATTTATGAAACATTATGTCAGTATTATAACTTTTATTTCACATACTAAATTAATTATTATGTTTTCGCCCTACTTACGTAATTGTTTGACAAGGAACTCGACTAGTTTCAATCGTACTAGAGGTTCATATTCATGAGCAGCTTTCCACGATGCACGACGAGGCGACTGTCGCGCTATTATGAGTTCCTCGTCAAATAGTTACGTATGCCGAAAAATATATTAATTAATACTGTTATAGTTCAGTAGTTTTTGCATGAAAGAGTAACAAACACACATGCATACATCAGAAAATGGTCCCGTACAGTTCAGTTTCAGAGGAATTTTCTCCCACGGACCCTCCGATTGTGGAATGAACTCCCTGCCGTGGTTTTCCCAGTGGGCTACAACATGAGGTTCTTCAAGAAGGCAGTGAATAGGTTTGGGGTAGGCAAGACGCATGTAATGCCCCAAGTGTTGCAAGCGTACATAGGCCACGGTAACCGCTTACCATCAGGTGGGCCGTGTGCTTTTTTGCCACCGTCGTGGTATAAAAAAAAAGAACCTCTCGTATTTATTATTACTAGGAATACATCTGCCTACCCCTTCGGGGATAAAAGGCGTGATGTTATGTTACATTTTAAGTCAAAGATATCATTAGTTAAGAATCAAACAAAGATAGACTTTTATTACGTTAAAAAGTTAGCAAATTCCCAACAGTTAACCTTTTGTTAAAGTTACATAAAGTGTTGACTGTTGACTTAAAACTCTTTCAGTTAAGTTTAAGGTTAAGTCACAATGTTGTAATAGTTAAAAAAAGAACATTCTTTACATAGAGTTTGTTTTCAACTAAACGAAGTTGTTGTATTTTTTTTTAATTCTTTTTTTATAACGCTATGGAAATCCTCGTGGACTTCCCGTGCTGTGGGGACGACGGGCGGACTCGGAATGTGCCAAAGTTTTCTACCTGAACATTACAAAAATAAAACAATATTTTGCTAGTATTTATTATGATAGCTAAAATGCATTTACGTTCGTTTTTATAATATATTTCTTTCAATATTCATTATAATTTATTCATTAAATAACAAGATACTGAATTTTTAAGCAGATGCGGCTAGTACTTCCAACCATAATAATATTATTGTTAAAAAAAAACTATGATTACGTTTACTATGAACGTAAATTTACTTTTTACGATGCTCAATGCCAGCCAGTATTGTGGAACTTTTTTATAGTTTTTTACACAACAATTATTTCGAGTACATTATTTATAATCTGTGGCTATGTGTAGTTGTATTGCACCATAGGTTTCAAACCGTATTGTTTTGTAATAAAATCGACATCTAGAAAAAATCAATTATTATTTCTTTTATTTTTCTTAAAACGTTGATTACCTACTATCGTAGATAATCGTAAGTCTCTCGCAATGATATTTTATGATATACTTTTTTAGCAAATACCTACACATAATTGTTTTTCTTTTCGATTTTTCACAAAAACAAACAGCTACTAAACTGAAGATAATTTTGTAGATATAAATATTTATCATAAAATAAAGTGAAAACGGAATCAATTGTTCCGATAAAATAATGTATGAGACTGAATTAATGACCGGAATACAATACTTCAGAACCCGTTTGAAGAACGAGTTACACAAACGAACATACATTCTTATGAAAGGTATAATTGCAGAATACATTAAAATTGTAAAGCGTAAATGATATATTTTTTATACATAAATGCATTTACGGTTCAAGCCGATGAGTATGAAAAGTGAAGCAAAAACTTCAAATCAGCCAGCCAAAGCAGTATTTTAAAATACGAACACTTACGATGTCTATAGTGCATCCTGAATGAAACCTTAAAATATTTCAGCCAATAGCAGCCAACCTCCTGTTTACTCTATTATCTTTGACGTCTATCTTTATTGTCATGCACATATTATGTTATCTATGATTGTATTTTTCATCTGTGTACCTACCATTACGCTTTATTTTGCTTTAAAGGCCCGCCAGCGCATATTAACTATCCTTTCATCGATCCTATCCCTCATTATTGATATGTGCATGAGAATTTAAATAGAGAAAGGTCTAGATTTTTATTTTTGATTCTATTGGTTTCATTCTAGGAGCTAATTTATAAAGTTCTGTATTTTGATAGTAAGATGAGTACTTGGTTGCTCGAATATTTAGGCTTCACTTTGCATAGATCTGCCAGGCCAGGGTAATGGTATAAGCTCTAATCGACTATATAAATAGTTAATAATACTCAATGTTTGAGACTGACATACATAACTTACGAAACTGTCGTATCATTATGTCAATTCTATACATTGTCTTCACAGATTCTTTATTCTACTCGATTTTAGTGACGCTGATGATATAGACGTAAAAAAGTAGCGGTAACTGCTGTCCATCAGCTAGGCTTTTATGTAAGATGTCAATTCGAATTCTTGAAGTGCGCTCGATCGCATTCTCGCCTGTCATTGGTCAGGATTATTCTCACCACCAATGACAGGGCGGATCGCGATCAAGTTCACTTCAAAGCTAGGCTAGGCAAGGGAAGGCTAGGACAAATTTATCTCCAATATTTTTAGTTCTAAATATTAATCTTTATATCCAAAAATTTCCAGAATCAGCAGCCGCTCTTGGACGTTGTCCGGGAGCGGGCTCGCGAGCTCTGCTCTGGAGCTGATGCTGCAAGCGGAGAGAGGGTCGAGCAGAGGACCAGAGAGTTCGCTGACAGCTGGAATGTCGCCTGTGAAGGTGAGTAAACAAGTTGAACAAGATAATATAAACATCAATGTCCCATTCGTTGGAACTGCCATAGGTATGTCAAAATTGACGTCGATACTCTATGTTAAGTCGATACACTAATCGAGGCCGACTATCGTTTCTTATCCTCTCGAGCGTCCTTATGAGCACCCGGTGTATCATAAAAAAAATGCTCCATGCTGCTTTCTCTTTTATAAAATCTATTATTAATGTTTTATGTTTATTTTGACTGTATTTTTTATTTCTATAGTAATGATCCTTGTTTTCGTGTGCCAATGGCCAAATAAATGCATTTTCTCCAAATGTCATGTGTGCACCCGTTGGATCACAAGGAACGCGGACGCTCGACGGGTTAAGAGCGTTAATGCCGTCCAAGCGCGGTTTAACTTAAAACTGCTATATAACATCTTGTTAGTATGAAAAATACTAATTTCACCCACTATTATCTACTGCTATTATTATTATTGTTTTAAAATATTATGAAGTTGGTTTTTGCTAGCCAATTCTCTAACCCTACATCACTGGTACTGTTTTCAGAATTATATATAATTATCTCAGTTAAATTACAGTGGTTTTAGCGTGAAAGTTTTAAAACAAACTGACTTTCCTATCCGGTGGCGTAAAATTAAGTTTAATGAATCCGGTTCCTTTTGTATATAAATGAAAACACAATTAAAGTGTTAACTGTACCTATTTTTTGACGAAACTAGTGTTTTTTCATAATTCTGAGTTCATGTATCTATTAAGTAGTTATACATAATACTCTAAATTGTTAAGTAAACTATGAACTTCAATAATAAGTGTTTAAAATCTGTATGTATTTAAAGACTTCTTAAAAGTACTTACATGCGTCCTTATAATCCCTTCATCGACTGTGCAACGCAAAGTATGTAGGATTATAAACTTGACATGATTCACAAACGTAATTTTCGTATCCAAATGACAACTACAAGCTATCACCTATTTGTCATTCATGAATCGTCACCAAACATCGTGAAGTACTTTTATATACAATTCGTCTTTTCCTCCAGGTCTAGCAAAGCGCGCAGCGGTAGCCGACCAGCAGCTACACCGCTGGAACCAACTCCTGGATGTGCAGAGGAGTCTGGGTGCCGCTATCACAGCTGCATCAGACCGGTTGAGACAGCTGGACGCCAACCCCAGCACCAGGCGACGAGCTCTTGACATCAGGCATGCTCTGCAGGTAAGGGATTACAAAGCATTTTTGTAATAAATTGTTATGTTTTCGGTTTACTCACGTAATTATTTGACGAGGAACTCGACTAGTTTCAAGCCATGCTAGAGGTTCATATTCTTGAGCAGCATTTCGCGACCCGCGACGCAGCGACTGTCGCGCTGCTGTAAGCCGAAAACAAAATAATTTATTTAGTATTTTTTACGAAAGTTATAATACATTTTTATAATAATTAATCAATTAATTTAGGAGTCCATCCGTAGTGCACTTTTGTCATGAGAATGCTGAAGTTTATGACTTCATTACCTATTTCATTTCGTTCTTATTTTACTTTAAATTTCCTTTATTTAATAAGAAGCCAATTGTTTTGATGGATTACTGGCCACAAAAGCAACTGCCGAGGAAAGGTAAATTAATCCTCAGGTTATTGTTCTTATAAATAATACAATATGCCTATAGCATTAAATCCATCTGGTATATTAAGTAGTAGTTGCAAAAAATAATTATAACGGCTCTATTATTGACGTATCACAATTAATTCGCTAAATGAAATGACTAGCAAAGTTTGACTATAGATAGACATATTGCTCTAGTGCCTTTGCCTTACCAGTTCAGTACACGTAAAGAGTAGGTAATAAATATTATTTTAGTATGTAATGACATTCAAGTAAGTCGTATGGTCATCAATTTTAATAAAAGCGATTAATTAAGAAAACCCTCTTTTATCAAGGTCTGCCTACAAAACTACAGAGTAACCCTTAGTTTCCATATTACTACAACAGTAGGTAACACTTAGTAACAGAACTTCTTTATGGTCACAATCGATAAGAAAAGTTTATACTTACTATGAGCTGAAACAATGCTTTCCTTAGCACTATAGAGTACTTGATCCGTGAATCATTGTAATTGTACAAATGTACTCATTGAGAATGTACTGCATAAAGGTACAATGTTACTGAGGAAATTATGTAGGCACTTTTGTTGATAACAACAAATAAGTTATTGTATGTATTTGGTGAATTTAATTACGTAATGTATCCTGTTATTCCTCGAAACGATAGATGTTCATATTAAACGCGTATTTCTCTAGTTATTATGGTACGAGTCTCATATAATAGACTAGTTATTTCCGCGCGGTTTCACACGCTCTGCTCAGCTCCTATTGGTCGTAGCGTGATGTTTTATAGCCTATAGTCATCCTCGATAAATGCACTATACAACACAAAAAGAATTATTCAAATCAGACTTGTAGTTACGGAGATTAGCGCGTTCAAACAAACAAACAAACAAAAAAAAACAAACTCTTCCGCTTTATATAATATGTAGTATAAGATAACAACCCTTATTATTACGTAGGTCGGGACATCAATTCAGAATAACCCTGCTCTTTACTTCTAAAAAACGACAATTTTATTGGTTACTACCGCAAATTCTGAAATGAAGATAAATCTGTAGTTCGAGAAATTGAACAATAGTGACGCCCAATAAAATTCCGATGCTCCGTCCTTGGCAGTTGCTTGTTTCGTCATAAATTTTGTCAATTATTCTTTTAAAAATAGAGATCGATCCTAAGATGTTGGATTGTGACTGGTTTTTAATTCCACCCGTTAGCTATTGCAGTTGCAATAAACAAACAAAAATCATGAAACCAACTGATAATCTCCGTCTTTCTACCAGGAACTGCAAAGCGAAGTCTCAAGCTTGGAGGACAGTAGAGACGAGCTGCTGGAACACGCTGAGTTTGTGGTCAACATCCTCAAGCCACACTCCAAGGACGCTGCCAATGAGACAGAGAAGAACGTCAAGGATCTCGTAGAAGCTTATGAGAAGTAAGTAGTGTGTTGCTTCTGTAGTCTTCTGTGTTGATTTCTTCTAATCTCAGTCTTAAATCTTTGCATTAAAATCGATTTTTGCAATGAATTTTGGTCATAAAATCAAAGATTATTTTGAATCAGTATCGGTTATTTTTGACCGTTAATAGAATTTAAGTGATTTTGTCCATAGGTGGAATGAAGGTAAGTGATTTGTAGTGTAGTGTCTTTTTGAAGGGTGTTTTGATTTGTAATTTTATTATAGGTATATCTTAATTCGTCGTCGTTGTTTATTTTATGTAAATCGTTCGTTTACCCGCTCGCCCGTCTATTCACGTCCCGTTTCTGGATATACGTCTTTAAACCTACATTTTGATTAAAATTTATTATAATTGGCATAGTCCTTTCGGTGATAAATTAAAATAAATGCAGAGATCAAACAGCAGACAACATTAAATAACAGTTTTTTTATCTGAATTTCGTGTACGGATCCAATTCGCGTGAATTTAAACACACATCCGTGTTTTTCTAACCAATTCAATGTGCAAACGTTATGTGCCAAAATCAACTGAGATCGCATTAAACACTATTTACTAACACGTCGAATTAATGATTCAACTGCGATTATAAAACCTGACGTTCACTGCTGTACAGAACTAAAGAAAAACAAATTTTTCAAGAATATCTTCTTTACTGCCGTGTAAGGGGTCTCGGGTACGACTCCTGGACTGGGCAAAGATTTATTAGTTTTTTGAAAATTTTTCAGTAGTAGCACGGAGTCTGGAAATGTGCCCGGTGTACGGCAATAGGCTCACCCCCTATTACATGGGACTTATAACGTAAATATGGGTGTTACATTATACAGTGGCATTAAGTGCCGTAATATGTACCCCTGCATATCCCTTTGGGAAAAGCCGTGATATTATGTTATGTTATCTTAGTTAAGTATGTTCGAAAACTCGTTTCTTACCGTCAAACATAGACTTTATGATAACAATAATGTATGACATCGAGCCGCTTATTCGCCGGTTTAGTAGATACAAAGCTATAAATTGTGTCTCCGTCTTTTAACTGACCTTTAAGTTGATTAAAGTGAATATCTAAGTGCTTTGAACACCCAGTGAGGCTGATGCCCGATACGGAGCCGCGGAAGGCCTGACGGGTTTTAACGAAGAGCAGGAGTAAAGCCTCTTCTCACACGGAGAAGGTTTGAGCATTAATCACCACGCTTGCTCAATGTGGGTTGGCGATTCTGACTTATAATTAGAAATTATAAGTCCAGGTTTCCTCACGATGTTTTCCTTCACCGTTTGTCAGTGGTTTCTAGATAATCTTAGAATGTACCTACATATAGCTCGGAAAAAGTCAAATTGGTACTTGCCGTTGGTAGGTTTCAAACACGCACCCTCATGCATGAGAAGCGGGCGTCTTAAACCTCCGAGCCACCACGGGGACGTGCAGTATACCACGCATATGAATACCTACGATACGATAAATATACCAAAATTACAAATTTAACAATTTTTGTCTATTTGTACTGGCTAATCTTTGAAATGGCGGGACCGATTTTAAAAGGACTTTTATTGGCAGATAACAGATGAACTAAGGAATAATATAGGCTACTTTTATTTTAGAAAAATGCTGATGAAGTTGCGGTTCAGCTAAAAGTCATTTATAGCATAGGGCTTAGTATAATTTAATTTGTACAAAACAGTGTAGGGTACACAGTAGCTACTTGTATTATTTAATCGGCTTTTGTCCGCTCAATTGACGAGCTCATTCACGCAATAAAGAGTTAAGTTGAGACGTTAAAACTTAGGTAATAAATACTGCAATACTTTCAAGTTATATCCATGTCTGAATACTCCTAAGAGGCTTTACAAGATTGATGTGTGTTAAAAATATATTTTTTATAAACCACGTTAAAGAAGACCAAGTTCAACCCACTCTTTGTTTTGAAGTCGATTAATGAATATACTAAAACTTCTCCTCAGTGCAATAAACACTTTTCTGAAAACCAGATCAAAATCTGTTCAGGCAATCGCATCGCACAAACATACAGGTCAATATGAGAACTTCTTTTGTTGAAGTCGGTTATAGATTAAGAGGTATATTTGCAAAATTGACTTATTTTACAAAAAAAAAATCTTTTTTTTTTAATTCGTGGGCGCCCAAGACACAGGAGAATATCCTAAATCGGGAATATTTTGTTAAATAAAAAGAAAATAAAATGTATCTTCCACTGAATGGACTAACAAACTACTTAACTGTTGAAAATCATCTACTAAATTTGTTTATACAAAAGTAGCCTCTAAACATTGGAAATAAGGTCTATAATGTAGTTAGTGGAGAGCGGTCACCGGTGACCGCTTGGGGATATACGGGTGAAGGTAATATCTCATCACTAAGTAAGATCATTAGTTGATGTTTTAGAAGCATTCATATCCAACTATTGTCAGCCACGGCGCGGATGTCAGTTTTGCCACAGATAAAATATTTATGCTTTCAATAAAAAAAACTGTTACCGTATATTACATAAAAAGGCAGAACTCGGTAACTGGGCCAGTTAGTTATCGGGACCTGCCAAAGAATTCCGGAACACAACTCCTGGCATCATGTCAACTGTTTGACACTCATGACAAGCAAAACTCATGAATTCAAACAAATAATATTTTGCTTTTCCATAAAAAATCACTTGTAATTTGTAAACCTTGAATAAATGAGCTTAGAGTCCAATTTTGTTTAGCAATTTGGTCATCGACGCGTATAGTATTGGCGTCTGATATTCTTGTTTGCTATTTTGTTGTTTTGGTGTTTTTTTTCTCAAAAACTGCTTCCTGTGTTGAAATTTTGATGGATGGCTTTGAAACCTGTAAATACGTGTCAGTTCTAGGCCAATTTTCAGGTTAGATTTTTCAGTTCCCATGTTTAGAATGTGAAAAAATTGATAAGGAATATAATTTGAAAATAATTATCAAAATAAAGGAAGTAGATATTGATATAATAAAAGAGGCATTCCACTTAGATTAACTTATCAATTTGAGACTTAATTGGAAGAAAGGATAAACAAATCATATAATCAGTAAAAAATGTTACCAACTTAATATAACTACATCATTTTTTTTGCTAAACTCATCTTCAAAATGTACAGGCATAATGTCACACGTTTTCTATTTGGCAACCCCAAATAAATTAAAAAGAATCCCAGATTAAATAATTATAAATATCTGTTTGCCAATAATAAAAATTCTTCAGTCGACGAGACTCCTACGAAATTAAAGACCTATTAATAGTTACAAGGCAAAATAAACCCTATTACACAGCAATAAATATTACAATAAATAAAAAGCAACAATGTCTTCAAAATATACGAAAATATTTATACAGAATTTATAGCTGCAAGCTGAAATGAACCTTCACGCCTTGGCTATAAAAGTTACAATACGTTGATAGCAACGTTGTCTTCAAAAAATAATAAAACATTTTGCCAAATAATATAAATTAGTGAGTAATTAGCTTTATCAAAGGACATTTTACTCTATTCACCTTCATATAAAGTGTGTTTTTATTTGATATATGAATGTTCTTAAGGTTGAAATGTAATTGGTAATGGTGATATATATGGGGTATTCAAGAGCATAAGTAGAGTTGTTCTTAATTGGCAACTTGTCTAGACGTCAGTGCATTTAAGACGCAATAAGGAATATATGTGAAAAGATAAAGTTATAGTATGATAGAATTACTTACATATTGTTTTGAGATACTCATTTTTATATGTTGATATTTATTTTCAAGCATTGATGTCAGGATGTAGTTACGTACCATCACGCCTTTTATCCTCGAAGGTGTAGACGTGCACATTATGCATAAATACTGAAAAGTGGGTGTACAATGTAACACCCACTTTTCAGTATTTATGTTATGAGTCCCATGTAATAGGGGGTGAGCCTATTGCCATATACCGGGCACAGTTCCAGACTCCGTGCTACTACTGAGAATTTTTAAAAAACCCAGTGATACTTTGCCCGGCCCGGGAATCCAACCCGAGACCCCTTGCCCCGCAGTCGCAATTGCGACCACTTGGCCAACGAGGCAGTCACCTAATAAATTTGACTGGTTCAAAATAAAAATAAGTGTATCTCATATGACAAAACGGCTCATAATATCAATCATAGCATATATTATCTTATCGTTCGTAATCTCTATGCAGGATTAACTGCCACGAATTTGTATCTTTTATCTAAAATTGCAGTAGTATTACATATTTCGTAAATATCAATATGTCTGTCAACCTATACCGGGGCTCCGGCTCGACGTGCAGGAGAAGGAACGGGGTGGTTTTTAGTCAGAAAGAGTCTGACACTCCCTCCAGCCTCACCCAGGCGGGAGCAGTCATTCGATGATTTTGCCCCCTACATGCGCTAAAGTGGCGTTTGGCTAAAGGCTCAGAGTAGAAACAAATAGATAAAGAAAAAAATCTTCATTTGTTTTATATAAACAATGTGTTGCTTTTAATAATAAAACAGAATAAATATAATTACACAATTCAAAATATCAGAATAAATAAATTCCGTGAAAGAATTCAAGTGAAAATCGACTAAATTACTGCTGAATAATAATGACGAAAATCGCGTGACACTAACAGTCTAGGTAATAAGACTGAAATGCTATAAAAATCTTAAATACCTAATTAAAATTCTCGTAATGATCTCACAGCGTTTTAATATAAAACATGTTGAGAATTACAAAAACTTCAGTCGAATTAAAACCTTTGAAACCTTGAATTATATTATAAAAGTAGTAATTATGTTATAACTTAGTTAAATACTGACATTAGGAGATGGCATTTATAATACACCAACCCTAATCTTCCCGTGGGTGTAGATTGTCGAAGTCCCGACTCAGGGTCTGTACATGATATTCAAATTGCGAAATTCTCAGTAATAACACGTTAGAAGTTAGTACATTATATAAATGGCGTGAAATGGGCGAGTGAACTTAGATAGAATTGCATTATT